TTTTGTTCTACTAGAATCTATTAAGTAAAGTTATATATAATCTATAAATCGGAAAGCTCGGCTAGACAATCCGTTTTGGTTTGTTTTTTTGCTTTGTTTCTCATTTCAGTAGGGAAGTGACATCAGTTATACACTTCCATATTTGCTCTTTCTTCCTTCAGATACTGTTGAGGTGCATTTGTCAAATGGATAGGCTTGGAATTTAGAATTCATTGGCAGATGTTATAATCTACCTTTGAAACTCATTTTTCTTAAAATTTGATCAAAGATGTGATTGCCATCATTGTTTTTTGCAGCTGTCCGGGTGATTTGGAGGGGTTTCAACCATATTATAAAACCACAATTACTTGTGGTGGTGGTTTTTGTCTTTTCTTCCCCTCTCTCCCCTGACCTAAGGAAGGGAAGGAGAGAAGAAAAGTTTCTAGAGTTACATGAAGATAAAGCCTATTTGCAACATTTTAAAGGCATAATCTGAAAAGATTTGCATTGATCTGCTTAGGTTCTAAATTCCAGGTTAATCTGATATACAACAGAAATATAGCTCCTGTTAATTTATATGTAACACTTTCCAAGCATTTAAATAGGCTTACATTATCGTAAACCACTTTTTTTTCCCCACGATCTTACAGTAATGGGACAACATGGTTGTATTATGTGATGAGATTTTAAAATGTTATTCTTTCTAGCTGATTTCATGCCAATTTTGGGAACCAACCTAAACCCTGAATTCATTTCTGTGTGTAACAATGCCACCTGGGCAATTGGAGAAATCTCTATCCAGATGGGTAAGATTCAATTTTCTCTTTAAATCTCTGCACATTTAGCATGATTTGTCTGGGTGATTTGGATGGGTGTTGGGGTTTTTTTTAATTATACTTTCATGTTAAAATTTTAGGTAAATTTGAGCTTTTTGACCTTATTAGTAAGTTCAATGTACTCAGTCTACTTAGATTATGTATGTTAATGGTCTTTTTCTTCTGAATTCTTTTTTTGGCTGTTTCAGGTATAGAGATGCAGCCTTATATTCCAATGGTGTTGCACCAGCTTGTAGAAATAATTAACAGACCCAACACACCAAAGACGTTGTTAGAGAACACAGGTACCCAAAAAATTGAACTGTACATGGTGAAGGAAATTAGAGATTTTTTTAATAATTATTTTTAAAATGGCATAGGAGAACCACACCAGAACTGATTTTATTGCTATGTATTTGGCTTTTATAATCAAAAGCAACTCTGTTTTGCAGAAGCTCTTACAAGTCTCAGTCTTGCAGCAAATCATATATCTAGATTCTCAAAGTTACTGCTTTCTTCTTTTGTAACATATATTTCTTTATCATCTGTTTAATTATTCTTCCATTTTTATGTATTGCATATGACAAATGTATGCAGTAACACTTAGGGTTATTTCTCACTGCTTTGGATATATGCATGTCCTTACACGTGTGCTGTGTATATATGTCCAGTGTTGGAAACAAGTGTAATTGGCATACATAAAACAAACAAGGAATTCTTTAGATCTGCCAAAAAAATGCACTCTTTTTAAAAGTTCAGCTTAGTGTGCACCAAAATCTAGATCTGTGGTGGCAATTTTACAACAACATAACTGAGATTATGTTGAACTTCTATTGCTTGGTCCCTTAATAACAAATCTCTGAAAAGAGATCTAATAGTGGCATGCATGTTTCATGTTCTGGCCCAGAGCTTTGTGTTCCAAATTGAGAGCAATCTCCAAATGCCTTACTGAATCAGAATTTCTGAGGCTTGTTTCTTTTGCATTTATAGAGGACATGTTCTGGTATGAAAAACACCTTCCATACTTCAGCAAAACTCTCTTAATGTTGCGATGGGTTTATGGTTTACTATTTTACTAATTGAGATTTTATTTTCTTGTCCTGTTTGGAAACTGTCCTGTAAGAAAATTACAGTTTAGTTGTTACACCTGACATGATTGAAAATGATGCAAATTATACTTCTTGAGCAAAGCGAGAGATAATTTGGAGAGAGATTTTTTTCTATGCAAGTTTTTCCTCCACTATTCTCTATACTTAGAAGCTGCACTTTCGCTGTCCTTCTGCCCCCATTTAGTATGGAAGGTGAACTTCAGGGGAAAATTAACTAGTTGTATGGCATATTATAGGTACTACTTTTTGAAAAGTTAATTTTGGAGCAAATACCTCCTTGTTTTGAAATATACCATGGAATAGTATAACAATGTGAATTTGCCTTGCCCCTGCCTTGACTCCCTTCCTCTACACTGATGGATGTGTAATATCTGTAACTGAGAAGCATCCAGTACTTGAATGTTTGCTTCCATCATTGTTAGAGAATTTTTGGAAGCATCCAGACATTTACGTTTATTTATTTTTCTTTTCTTTTAATTCTCTTAATAGTTACTTTAAATGTGGATGCATAACTGCAAATAAATGTTGAGTGTGATGTACTTATTTTACGTTTGTTGTGGGATATTTTGCTGCATGCCACTAGTATGTGCAAGAGCATTACTGTTTCTGCCGTAGCTTGCTGTGTAATTAATTATGAATGCAGTTATGAAAACAGGCTTTTACAGAGATTACTATTCCTTCTACAGACTGTAACTGAGGGATGAAACTTAAAACTGTGTTTTCATTTGAACTTCAAGTGCAGTTTTATAAGACAGTATAAAAATTTAGACACTGCATATGGAAATTGAGCAACATCAGGGCGAAACAGTACATTGCCAGTGAGCTGCAGCTTTCATGGAATTAGAGTGTTCCAGGCTGCTTGTATATCCTACACCAAATTTTTATTGGAGAAAGCATCATCTGCTTTACTGCATGTTTCATGAAACTGTTCACAAATGCCTGTTAATTAGAGTGTTGCATAGTATGTCCCTTGAACATAGGTTTCCTTTCTTTGCTTCATACAAATCTGCTGGATTTTAGTAGTATTCATGTATTTTGCTTCAAGTAATCCTGATACATTATTCCCCACCCTTTTTCTAAAGTACTGTTTCTGCCGTAGCTTGCTGTGTAATTAATTATGAATGCAGTTATGAAAACAGGCTTTTACAGAGATTACTATTCCTTCTACAGACTGTAACTGAGGGATGAAACTTAAAACTGTGTTTTCATTTGAACTTCAAGTGCAGTTTTATAAGACAGTATAAAAATTTAGACACTGCATATGGAAATTGAGCAACATCAGGGCGAAACAGTACATTGCCAGTGAGCTGCAGCTTTCATGGAATTAGAGTGTTCCAGGCTGCTTGTATATCCTACACCAAATTTTTATTGGAGAAAGCATCATCTGCTTTACTGCATGTTTCATGAAACTGTTCACAAATGCCTGTTAATTAGAGTGTTGCATAGTATGTCCCTTGAACATAGGTTTCCTTTCTTTGCTTCATACAAATCTGCTGGATTTTAGTAGTATTCATGTATTTTGCTTCAAGTAATCCTGATACATTATTCCCCACCCTCTCCTTTTTCTAAAGATTAATCTTTCGTGAGTTGAGCGAACACCATTAAAACACATTTGCATGGTGATATTTTCTTTGGTCTGTCCCTCAGAGCAAAGGACCAAACTACCTAATCATGTGATGAAGCAGTTTTGCTTTTCATGTGTCCTTATACCTTGATATCAAGTCAGATTCTTATGCACATCTGTGAGGAAACCTTTTGTGAACAGGAGAAATATTGGAACTAAAAAAATTCATTTTCTGCAGTCAGTTGGCTGTGAGTTAGCAACAACTTCTAATTAAATGCCCTATGAAGAGATTGTGAAGAAAATATTTGGTGTTCTTTGAGAAGAGTCTCATCTAGTTAGAATTTTCAGACAGCCCACAATATTTTCCACGTAAAGTATTTCTAAATGGGTTTTTACTGATAGATTAGGTCTATTAAAATCTCGAATTCTAACTATTGAAAAAAAACAAAGTGTTTAGAGTGCTTGATGGTAAATCTGAAGATGGTTAATTCCTTTTCATCAGAAATATCCATAGTGGTGCATTTGAACAAAAACTTTGCATGGTAGGTAAATTCACTGCGAAATGTTACTCTGAAGAATGCAGAATGACTGCTTACAACAGAAGGCCTTCGGATTTAAAATTGTGTTTTTGGTGTTCTCTCATTTACTTCTTTAATTTTCTTTTACCCTGGAGAGTATACCATATATGTTGCTGCCTCTTATTTAGGGGGTGGTAATAAACAGCATTGGTGAAATCTTATGTTTATTATCATACACAGATTCTGTTGGTTTCTGTTTCTGAGTTATTTGTTGTTTTTTCTTTATTTTTTCTCCTCCCCCCTCATTTGCTCATGTCTTGGTTGGCGTTTGGTGGTGTATAACCGTGATTGCGTTACCTTAGCAATAACAATTGGTCGTCTTGGTTACGTTTGTCCTCAAGAGGTGGCCCCCATGCTACAGCAGTTTATAAGACCCTGGTGTGTATTATTCAATCTTTTTTTTTAATTCATTTTTCTTCACTCTCTTTCTTTCTTTCTTCCTTTCTTTCTTCTCTCTATCTCACTTTTAGATATATTTTCAGTTGGTTACAAAATCTCAATCCTTAATCATTGCCAACCATGTGACTAATCTTGTCCTATCAGGTTTGTGAGTTTTTAGTAGCACCGTCATGTATTCTTTATGTTGTGGCTAACGACTAATTTATGCATGGGATAAGATTGTCACATGCTTGCTGTGTTAAAGCTTGACTATGAAAGAGCATTTTAAAATCCACCAGAATGATAAGACAGTGCATGCAAATACTGTAAAATTTAAACTGTGCATTACTTAAAATTCAGTCTGAGGCTTGAAATGCTGTAAGGAATATATGTTTATAGATCTGTTATGTATAAAATAGCTTGCTTGCTGCTGTAAAAGTTAAATAACTGTTCTGTAAGTGGTATCTGACATAATTCATACTGTGATAGTACTTTATGTTCCGCTTCTAATAACGGTAGTTTCTACAAATATTTCAGATACATGTTTCTTTTGTATTTAATGGAATACAGGTCACACTCTCTAACAGTATATAGTGTAACAGAAAAACCAGAATCTGGAGGTGATGCCAATGGGATTGTGTTAGTAAAAATTATGTGGTTTTTGAGTGTTCAAAATTGTGTTTCAGATCATCTTGTCAGTGTGACTTATTCCATCAGATACTGTCATCTAGTTCTGACTCAGCTGAAGAAAAAGTAATAGTGTTAGCTAAGTTTTGCTCTCCAATTTGTTAGGTGCACCTCCCTGCGAAACATAAGAGACAACGAGGAAAAGGATTCAGCATTCCGCGGGATATGTACCATGATTACAGTCAACCCCAGTGGAGTAGTCCAAGTAAGATACTTTAATAGACACTACTTTACTTTACTCGCGTGCAGTTTAGTGAAAGCTGCATGTGGAGTATGAAGAAGTTTAGCTTCATGTGATTCCCTGCAGTACGTGATGTAGATTTATTTTGAGGTCACAATACATGTCATGATGCTTCAGCAGTTATAACCTGAAAAGGAAAGGGCTATTGTTGAAATAACGTTTTTCCATTTACTTACAACAAATAGGTAAATAATTAACTTTGATCAAAATAACTGTATTTTGATACTTCTGTCAGGTTGTGATCGGGATCTGTATGCAAATATAAGGTAAAATTTGGCATTCTGAAGCTTACTTTCCAGATGTAACCTAGGCTTTTAAAACAAGAAACAGAACAAAACCAGTAACCACCATTCATTCTGAAAACTTGGGTTGGGAAGATTCTGTTTCAGCTTTGGATATATTACTTAAATGGCCAATGTGACAATGAACATGCATCGCTTTAATATAAGTGATACCTCTGAAGAATAGAATAGGATTTGATCTTTAGTCTCCACACCTGAAGTAAAGCTGTACCAATCTGATACTTTCCAAGAGGAAAATGAAGGTGATTTTCCCTCTCCTCTGCTGGAATTCTTCTTTCTGAAACACAAGAATTGAGCCTTGTTTTGAGATTCTCAATTCATTTCACTTCTGCCTTACTGTGTATGTAATATTTTACTCTTCTGCTGTTTGTTCTTTCACATAGCTTAAGGGGAGGGGATAATTAAGGACACACTTCATTATTCCATCTCTCATTCTCTGTAGTCACACTGAAATAACATGCATTTGTCAGCAATTGGTGTAGGAGGAGGTAATGTACGACAGCAGGTGAACGAAGTGTAAGGAGTTTTGGGTGGCTTTAGTTTTGAATCTGTATGGTAAACATTCTGTGTGTCCCAGAAAAAAAATTCTGGCCCTGCTTAAAGAAATAGAACAGCTTTTTTCCCCATCTGGAAATGCATGAGAGAGTGCCATGACTGTGGTCTTGAGTTTGCTGCTTGTTATTGAGGTGATTTGGTCTTGTATTTATATGTGTACTGAAAGAATTACTGTTAGACTTGTGTACTGTAGGAGGGGAGACTTGGTTTTTTTAACTGTGGTTTTATTTAAGACACTAAGCAGAGCACTTAGACATACAATAACTTAGCATTGTCTGAAATAAGTGGAAAATAATTACATAAAACCAAAAGCATTTGTGAATTAGGATCAAAGACCCTGGACAGTTCACAGAATGAACATCAAGCATTGTTTTCAGACCTATAAATTGAGGTTTCTAACCTATGTTACTGTTTAATCTCGTAGGACTTTATTTTTTTTTGTGATGCTGTTGCATCATGGATTAGCCCAAAAGATGATCTCCGAGACATGTTCTGTAAGGTAAGGTTTCTGATATAACAGTATATCCTAGTGGTGATTGTTCTGCATCCTCTGGTTGGTTTCTTGCTTTCTGTTTCCCTGTTAGCACTTACAGTGTTTGTGGTCATGGAGGTTTCTCTGCCTTCAGTGGTCATGCAAGGTCATAAATTTTCAAACAAAACAGGATGAAAATCCTGACCTTTTTTTACCCTATATTTTCTTAAAAGCATTTGGATTATTACAGACTTCTTTAAACAGTATTGAAAGGTTCACTTGAGTTGCTATTTGTATCATCCTCAAACAGCTTTTCATAATGTCCAGCCTACTGTTTCACATGTATTTGGAAGAGCAGGTGGTTTTACACGATAGTTAAGACTTTTCTTCTAGAAAATGAGTTTTGTTACTTGTTCAAGACTTTTTTTTTTTACCAAAAAGATGCCTACTTTATTTTGGAGAAGTTTTTAGAACATTTCAAATTAAAGCTGTCCCAGTGGTATCTTGTTTGCTTCTCTTACTTCTGCTGAAAATAAAGGGCTGCTTAATTCTCCTCAGAATCCCTCTTGGATAAGTAGTGTCAAGAAACTAACATATGATTATACCCAAGAAGACATCCCAAATGAAGTGTCAGTAGAATTTAAGGAAGAGGTCTGTTTGCCTTGTATAAAATAAGTAAAAGAAAAAAAACCCAAACGACCCAGAATGTGATATATTGTATTTTGGCACTAGTGTCTTAGATTGGAACCCTCACAGGTTGTAAAGTGAAATCTCAGTTTTTAAAAAATTCTGTCAAAAGAAAAGCTCATGATACTCTTAAAGCAAAACCAGAACATATTCCTAAGTACTTGTAGGAATATGCATCATAATATTGCTACTTTCTTTTCAATTAATGCCATGTGTGAGCATCAAAACAGAAGCTAGAGCTTGTCTTTATGAGCAAAGACAGAAATCTCACTGTCCTAGGTACCCTCTCAGATAACTGGTCTCTTCCAAGGAACATTAGACCTAGAAAATTCACAGCTGTGAGTATTCTAGCATCAGCACAAGGAAACAGCAAATACAAGTTAAAAGGAAGTCCAGGATGCTGTCTATGATGATTGTGCAAAGCACTCTCTGTGCATGTTTCTGCACCAGTCCTTCAGCGTCAAATACTTGCTTCAGTAAGTTAGGCTCTTCTTTTTGACATTCCTTCCAAGTTATCCATGTAGGACCAATGCATTCAAACTGGACACAATGGTTCTTGCTTATCTGGCATAAGGTCTGCCTTGCTTCTTAAAAGTGTATTCTTGTGCTTTTCTCAGTGATGACATGCCGGGCTTTTATATTGCTTCCTCTTGAATACATGATTGCTGTGGTCCAGTTAGGTGTTCTTCCAACAAGAATTAACAACTTTCATGAACAATGGAAAGAAACTGGATTGTCCACTGTTTCTTGTTTTGTTTTGTTCTTTAGCACTAGAACTAGGGGAGAAAATACCACTTCAAGAGCGTGGATAGATGAGCTGCCAGTGTTGAAATCTGACACATAACCTTTTGTCATACCTGAACATTCCTAGATTTTGGGTAGTTTCTTGGCAGCTGGATAATGTGACTCTGGGTTAGGAATGAGAGGTGAGCCTGGAATTAACTGGTGGTGCAATAATGTCATTAGCACTACATCCTGTTTAAGAACAGCTCTACTTGACATTCTTGTGTTGAGGGTAAACTTGGTACCATGAGCTTTAATTTGGGCATTGTCTTTGCTGTGAAGATGTGTTCATGACAATTCAGTTTCACTGAATGCAAGAAAGAAAAAAGAACTTTGAATTCTCTTGGCATAATTTTGTATGAGGAAGAGCAATATCATCTGCTTTTGCCCTTTCTAACGTTTGCCTTTTATTTGCTGTATTACATCAGAAGGTCCAGACTGAAACCTGTAGATTATTTTTCCCCTCTTTCACTGGCTTTTGTCTACTACTGACTGTGGGTCCCTGTTCTTTCAAAACATATAAGATTTTAAGAGCTTCCTTTTAAGTGACAGTTGTCTTACTGGATCCCTGGAAGAAGCAGAGCTCTCACAGGTTTTATATTTGTGCTAGAAATTGACAGGTACTGTCAAATGCTGGCTGCAGTTTTGACTCAGCTTTATTCCCACAACATGTTACACTTTTAAAAAAGAAATGTGAACACAGTGGTCTTAATATATATGAACTGTGTCCGTTGATACAATGAATGAATGAAAAATGAATTGAAAAAATTACAAGTAGACATGCTGAAATGGCCTAACTCTAGGTTTTAAGTCACCTTGCTCGTTAAAAATACACTTAAATGCCTATATACACGCTGTTGTGTGGGTAGCTATATTCTGTATGCCACCTGTAAAAGAAAAAACACGTTAAGAAAGACATTATATTTATTTCTTCTAGCATTTCAGTATTGAATTGGAGAATTCAAATTGCCAGATGTACAGCTCAGCAGGTTGCGGCTTACTGCATTTGTGGCTAGCAAATACTGTATCCTCTGTTTAGTACTTATCTTGACTTCACCCTCTCATTTGTAGATTCTTCACGGATTTAAAAATCAAGTTGGGGATGAAAATTGGAGGCGTTTCTCTGACCAGTTTCCTCCTCCCTTAAAAGAGCGCCTTGCAGCTTACTACGGAGTTTAACCTCACGCACTGTAGCTGCAGTCCCATAATTAGAGGTGAGCACACCAGTCCTGCTTGCTAAACTGAACTGTGTAACAGACTTTCTCCCTGTTTGCATTATGTGAAGCACAATTGTTTCTTCAGAATTGTTCAGCTACCTCATCTAGTCTATCTTTCCATTTCATATGAAGGAAAGAAGGGATGATAATATATGTAAGTGATGGTAGTTGTAACAAAAGGAGTTGTCTGACTGGGTTTTTTATTGTTTCAGAGAGGAAGAAAAAGGAGTATATGATACACACATTAGTTTATCAAGATAAAGTTGGAAGTGTAGGTACCACAAAATGCTGGTTCAGGTTTAGTGAGGAACGTGATGAATATGATCCAAAAGAAATAGGCTCCCTTATATGTTACGAATATAGTAGCAGATGGCAGATGTGATCTAAGCAGGAATATTCCTCTAGGATAAGAAAGCAAGTTGGTTAACACTCTTTAGCTATGAGAAGTCCAATATACTCCTAGCTACATACTAAATGATCTTTGCACTGAATAAAGGATGTTACGTTATGATGTAACTCTACTGTGACTGTAAGGTGGATGTTTTGGGAAGGCTGATGTGTTTATTACAGCCATGTTCCATTCTCTGTGTCAATTCAGAATTGTTACACAGTTCTGTGTAGAGAATAATTACACTTCAGCAAAGAACAGTGAAAGTGCATTCCAGAATAGCTGTGTTGTTATACCACCTTGCTTTGTATGCTATCTGCATGCTGTATGAAGCAAATTTCTCATGTGTGAAGTAGTGATACCGTGAAGAGATAATTATACCCCCGAAAAAGGAGGGTGAATTAAGTTTATGTATTCAGTCTTTATAGAAACTTGGTACTTGTGGTAGAAGTGGTACTTTTGGTAGCATGGAAGTCATGGGAGTGAATCATGCAGTTCTGTCTTACTGTTGGAATGCACAGCTATTTAAAAGCCAGCCTAAGAATTTTTTCAGAGTCAGTGACATAAGAAATCCTGTTTGAATTACATGTTTGATCTGAACAATGGATTAAAAATAAACCGATTTCAAACATTTACATACTTATCAGTGAGAGTGTTTTAGCTCTGGCATAAGGGTGTTTTCTCCTCCTAATGAAAAGGAAGCCAAAGTGATAAACTGAGTTTGAACTGAGGAGAAACTATGGCTGACTTGTTTAATCCCCTGAAAGTGAAGCTGTTAGGTCAGTCATAGTGTTGTGCTAAGAATAGAAAAGCTGGTTAGAATATATAGGGCTGCTTTTATCCTAAATCTAAGTTTAGCCCTTATAGTGGAACTGTCACTGTAGCTTCAAAGCACATATTGCTGTTTCATGAATTTATCTGATAAAAATGGGCTGTTTTCTTAACAGACTTAAAAGGGAAAATCTAGGCAAAAATTCGTTTTGAAGTCAAAGGTTGGCACTTACTGCCTGAGAAAGGTGTGTAAAACAAAGAGTTTATCTGTCAGTTAAGGTTCAAGGTAAGACTTAATTGTACCTTTATCTTTTCCTTTTACAGGTCCTTCAGTCTGGGAGACTATGAGGGAGCCTCTGCACCCAGGGAAAATGTTACCCTTTACTGGGGGGAAGGGTAAACCAGTAGGGAATACAGTACAATCCCAACCCTACTGGGAGGGGCGGGAGGGAGGTGTTGCCGTCACTGTATTAAGTCGATGTTGGGAAATGTTTTAACATCTGGAGCCTTTGTGGGTGGAAATCTGTCTCCTATTACAACTCTGCACTGGATGTGAAGAAGAAAAAAAAAGAATCTAGTCACAAAACAGCACATTCTGGAATATTGTGGGGATTTGTACTAAAATAAGAAACCATATAATTGAAACATAGGGATACGTAAAGAGGAAAAATATTTTGCGCACAATAAAGGAAACCTAAGAATGGGGGTCACAAACAGTAAAAGGCTTTCTTTTTTGTTTCCTGGTTTTTTTTAAGTAAGGGTTTTCTACATTATTTCATCCTGCTTGATGGGATTCCTAGGTATTTGCATGTTAATGAAGAACTACACAAACGAAGTTAGTACAGTTAAAATGCAGCTTGTGTCTGTATTAGGAACAGCCGCTTGCAGTGTACAGTATAGAAACCCCATCGTAAATTATTAAAGGTTAACTTGGATGAAATGAAGCAACCTGCAAGCTGCCAAAATAAGTCACTCCTTTCATTTCTGGGGTAAGGGGAGGGACACTGCAAAAGAAAGATGACATATGAATTCTTACATTGAAAAAAACCAACTAAGATAGTAGATATGATTTTATTATTGTACTTTGTTAGCTTTAATTTCTAGAGTAAGGCATTATTCTTAACTTGCAGTTTAAGGTTCAGGCATGTGTTCTGGCTCATAGTGATCAGAAGTAATATTAATTAGTGGGGAAGTAGCATGCTTGCATCACATAGAGTGAAATTGGTATACATTTACCTATGTTGCGCCAGTTTTGTGTTGCAGTTTACCAATTCAATATAGCCCTGCATTTAAAATTCCTTTTTAAGATTCTGTGGATTTTATGTTTTATTAAGAATATAGGTATAAAGTACTGTAGTTAACAATTAGGCCTTGAAATACCTTTTTAGGATCTGTTAAGGATAAGATTGATATTGTATTGTGTGTAACCTGCACAATGTGGAAAGCTGATATAGCTGTGCAAAATATTTGCCTCTGTGCTGTCAGTGTGATGTGCTTTCTGCATGGTTATATACTAGTGATTTAATCAGAATCTCTAAAATGAGTTACATGGTAAGACCTGTTAAAGGCTGCGTAAATGTTAGTTGGCACGTAAAGACAATTGTAGAAGTTGATGACAGGATTGCTATATTTGTGTTTATTCCCACTTCAACGTATTACCTTCTACGCTTTCTTTTTGTTCAAAGCATGATCTTAAGGAGATGTTTCAGTTAATGGATGTAATGCAGGGTATCTACACTGTATTGGCGCATGTTGGTGGCCCTTTGTGATGTAGTTAAATGCACAAGGGTGCAAGTTTAAAGCTACGGAGTGAAAGTTAGTTTGGATCCTCTTCATTTCATTTGTTTAGCTTTTCTGTTGTGTTTTTTTTTTCTCTACTTACATGTATTCCTGTGAATAAATCCTTGTTAAGTTAACCCTTTACTTTTCCTTCCATGTGTATTTTCTTATGTACTGTGAATGTGAAATCCTAACTGGTACACTTGATCTTGTGTCCATCTGAAAGTGGCAAGTCTTTAATAATTTAGATTGCCTAAAGAGTATCCCATGATGATAAAGGAAAATGGAGAGATTTTTAACTCTGCTGGTCAGAGGTGAAGCCACACCTTTCCATTTTTCAAGTGCTGCATTATTAATCTGCAAAACAAAATTAAGCCATAACAGCCTTTTTGTAGATTTAGTTTCTCACCTTTGCATTGCAGAATGGATACTGGATAACAGTTATTTTATTTTATTTTTTTTTGTCTGATTGGGGGATTTTTAAGAATTTGCTCTTCTTTGCATGGTTCTGTTCTTTGACTGTTGAATGATTTAGCCATTGCACTGAAGTTTGAGCTGTGTGAGTGTGAACTTATAAATGCTGTTTTTAAAGAGTTTAGAAATTTTTTTTTGTGCATGACCACATGCATGTTTTACATACCCCTTTTTATTTTTTAATTTTTGCTTTGCAAATTTTAATGAATTATGCCTGAAGAGTAGTTTGGACATGTACTGAATGAAATACATTTGATAATGCCAGTACATGGTCAATTCAATCTGGTCAAAATTGCATGTGATAACTTGCTTTCAAATTACATTACTTTGGTAGCAAACACAAAATTCCTTCTTTAACTAATAACTGAATTAGTAATAGTCACTAAAACCCACTTTTATACCAAATTTTGAAAGGGGATAAAAAAAAAAATTAAGCAAGGTGGGTTATTATTTTAGACCCAAACTTGCTTTCATTTTCAGTGTGTTTGAACATTAAGGAAGAGTTTCAGAGAAAGGACATTAAAACGCCTGTAGAATAGAATACCTACCCAAATAATATGGTAGCATATAACAGCTGGAATCTGAGCTTAACTAGACTTTTTAAATTTCAGAAAGCCCCTTTAACCAAATGAAACCACTCCACCTCACCTTGGATTAGCTTAGGATGCCGCTTTTGTATATATGTGTTTTAATAGGTATTTGTACAGATGTGAACTGATCTGGTATGACAGCAAGGAAACTAATTAAGGTAGGGCAGAAATAAACAGTGCTGACAAAATGGGCTTTTGTATCAGTAAGTTCTCTCGTGGTGTTATTTTAAAGCAAATAAACCATACTCCTAATGCATAATATAAGGCAGAGATTGGCAGAAGCCATTTTTAGGGGATAATATGAGGCAAGAAAAGTTCTGAAATGGCATTAACATTTAAAATTGGATTATTGCATCATGGGATATGTAAAAAGCATCTTAATTCTTGTGGTGTAGTCTTGACAGTTCTTGAATGTCGACTGAATGTTCATACTGGTAGAATTGTGAGTTTGTCCTTGTTACATTCCAGTGTTTCTGCCTCTTGGCATGCTAAAAGCACGGCTTACTTCATTTGCTCCTCACACACTGAAAAAAGTGCTGTTAGTGTGCTAAACTACAGAAATAGCCGCTGCTAAGTAATGGTGTAGATTTTCTACTTGAATATTTTTGTTGTAGGAACCTCAGGAGGTCAGTGTTTACTGTTTTTATATATGCCTTTTTCCTGTTTTGAGTTTCCCTTTTTGAAGGATTCTGAGAGTGAACAAAAGCTGCTGATCAACCTAAGTTGGTAACAGAAAGTGTATTTAAAATCCTTGCGAATGCATCTTTTTGGCAGTTCTAAATTGCTGTTAAATTAGTCTTAAAATGGAGTTCAATATTAACTTTTTGTCATAACACATTCAGGAAAACACTCGTTTCATCTAGGGAAACGGATTAGACTAGTTCATTATTTTAACCAGTGCAAGCAGAAATAGTGAATTTTGTAATTTTTTTTCCAAAGCTTGATTATTTTCTAAATCAGTGAATATGTATATATTTAAACTGTAAGAAGCAAATTCCTATGCTTTAGTTTATTGCTCCTTGAAGCTTGTACTCAAAAGATCACTTTTAGAAGAATGGGTTAAAATTTGTAATCATCATGATTTTTAAAATTTATGAAGTAGCATAAATTTTTTAACTAACAATATTGATACACACTGTGATTTTATTTTTGAGTTTTGGTTAGGACTTTTACGTTAGCATCAATCTTAATTACTTAAACTGCATATATTGTATAATAGTAAAATGTATATTTTAAAACGTCAAGTGGCTTTCCTCAAGCGAAACTCATTGCTACTTAGAAATAGTCAAATACTAGCTTTATCTCAGGTGAATACTCTTGTACCCTTTTTGTTCAGAACACACGCTAATAAAAATGTCTCATAATCTTATCAGTTCATGTATTTCATTTAGGCAGCTCCTCTGTCTTAAACTTACTCTAAACTAACCTACTGTGGGGACAATATTGACTCTTGCTTCACCTATATTATTCATATTGAATGTATTAATAGATAAGGTGCAGAAACATTCTTCCCTCGAGGAGAATGTGTCCAAATACTTCTTTTAAAATGCTTTAAATGCAGCATTGAATTGGAAATCTTTTGTTTCATATGTCGCCAAGTAAAAAAGTTGTAACTGAACACTAACTGCTTCCATACTATATCTTTCATGGGGATGATAGGTGCATAAAGCTTCTATAGGGTCTAAGGAGTGGTTTTTTAATCTTAGATAAAGGTTGGGCTCTGCAGTGAAATGGCTAAACATCCTGCAGTTATCGCAGATAGACGCTGACGTAGTTTGCACACATATTTGTTATATATTGCATAACCTCACTTTGAATAAATAAAGCGTGATCAGTAGCTGTGTATTTCACTCACCTATGCATTCTCCAGGATGACTTGCATCCGTCAGTCTTCTAGGTATTTTTCTCTGATAGGAACTGGGTTTTGCCTGCCACTGATGCTTGCTCTTTGCACTTAATGGTTGGAGCAAGCCAGTTTTACTTTATTGTTTTAAATGGGGAATTGAGGCAAGTACTCTGTCTGCTTGCCTTGTGTATTCTGCTAAAATAGCGATACTCACTCACTTGAATGTACTTATATGAGGGAAGTTTGAAACGGCTCTGTAGGATGAATCCCTGTGTGGTGTTACAGTATGCTTTAAGTAAGCCAAATCCACATCTCAAAGAATTCAGCACTTACAGCATAGTATCATTTTTCTACAAACTGGTTCTGTTGTGCTACTTTTGATTTAGGTATCTATTTCCTTACTTTGGGTGAGCAACAAAATTAAGAAGGCTTGGTTGTTTTTTGTAAGGACAGCAATGAGGAAGAGAAAGGATTGGTGTAAGGAGGTTTATTTGGCTGTTGAAATCTGCAGTGTAATATTACCTTTATTCATGGGAAGAGATAGGTAGTTATGTTGTACGTTGTCTGACTTACTAATAGTAGACACTTAGGAAATTTTAAATTGGATGAAATATACAAAATAGTTTTACGTGAAAGATGACTGGATCTTTCTGCTGGCAACTTAGGTTGTGTAAGTTTTGCTTGAAAGCTTTAAATCTGATGTTTCTGTATCTGCCACAATGTTGGAATGTTTCCTTCAAACATATCCTCCTGCAACCTCTTAAACTGTACTAAATTGAGTGATATTTCTTGAAGTCTGCCTATGTGCTAACAGAACTTCATTTTAAATAGAATATGGTTTTAATTTTTGATAAGCTGCTGAATTTTAAAGAGTTTTTGGGGCCACCAAATATTTTGGATCATGCAGAGAATATATATTGTACTGTAGTAATTTTGTATTTACATTTGTATGATGTGACATAATAGATGTGAATGTTAATCACTGCTTGACTATGTTAATAAAGTCGTTTAAATATAGATGTTGCATTCTAGTTTTTAATGAATGATTGAAATTTATTGTTCAATATGTGTTTTGCCTGACCCAGTAGTTCACTCTCCTGGTTCACATGTGTAAGTACTGGAGTCTCTGGATTAAGGATTTTGCCTGAAAGAAAATGATGGTTGGATAAGTTAGGGTTAGTTGGTTTGGATGCTTCCTGCTGTTTGAGGGCAGATCAATGTAGAAAAAAGGAGGTTTATATGAATTGCAACTAAAGCCTGTTGGGGGATAACTGGTAACTGCTTCACTACTGAGGAATGTTACATTTACTGTATTGTTTTGAAATGGTTGATACTTGCTAGGTCTGACCAGATGGGAAAAGGAAAAAAATAATTGTTCTCATTCCTTGTGCTATCAATAATGTGAATTTGGAAACATGAGTACATTAGAAATAAATTAAAATTATTCAAGACCTTGAACCAGAATTTGCAGTGGTCTTACTCTGATTTTATCTAGTTTCGCAGGACCATGATAATACAAACATTAAAGATCTTCCCTTCCAGAACTTGCTGATACAGGAGTCTCTAAAATGCAGACATGAAGCCAACAGTTTCATTCCACCCACCTGTGTTGATTTGAACATTTTATGTTCACTTCCAGTGTTTTACAGTTGGTCAGTAGCATGTAGACAACTTAGGCAATTGTGTATGTCTAGCACAGATTGCTTCTGTAGTGTAATGATGAAGTTCAATAAAATGCATTTGATTTCTGCCTCGAGACAGAGGAGAAGGCAGTGTAGAGCCCAATGTGATTAGCAGACAGATCAGTTCCTGGTGGCTGAGCACACCAGTGGCTGTGTGAATGGGGTGGGGGGAAGTTATGTTTTCTTTCAAACAGCCATCCCATCCCCACTGCCCTGATGTTCTGGGGTACCTGTGATGGAACATTCTGCTGTCAGTCAGTAGCTTTTTTAGGTTTCCTGACTATCAGCTCAGAGCCTGATCTTAAGCTGTGGCCTCTAATTTTGAGTCCAAGGTTAATTACTTCCTGTATTTACATACAAGAGAAGAGTAAGTATAAGCAGCTTGAACAGATGAAATGAATGTTGCTGCAAAGTTTGTGGTCAGTTTGCAACAGTGCAAAGGATTTGAACTTTCACTGTAGGTTGTGCTAAATAGTACAACTTTTAAAAAAAGGAAATAAAAACTACATTAATTTAAAGCACTTCAGTGGGAATATTGTGTGTGTAAAATAA